GAGAGAGAGAGAGAGAGAGAGAGAGAGAGAGAGAGAGAGAGAGCCAATACACCCCGTGTGTGTACTGAAAGGACGCTTTGCTGCAGTCAGATGTGGCTGTGGGGAAGAAAAAGGCAAAAACGCTGTGCAGGCATACCTACACGCACATAGCTTTACATCATTAAAAAGAAGGGGAAACAAAATGACATAATTGACATTTATGTTTGAAGGAGGGGTAGTGTTCCAGTCATGCTGGCTGCTGCTGAGTTGTGGAGAAAGAGGAAAACTTCGCATTTATCATGGGCTGCAAGGAAAACGATGGGCCACCATGGGATTTCATCTGCAGGATACGATCATATCTTCTTTGTTCTGTGATGGTTTACGGCGCTCTAGGACCTTTTTCATGGCCTCTGGCCTTGATTACGGTCAGATACGTCGAGGAAATTCCTATGTATTACCTAACCTAATGTGAGGATGATATATTCTATTGCTGTACCAGCTCCCTGAACTTCGGTCTCACCGTCTCATCATGTTCTCTTTTCTTTTTTTCTTCTTCTTTTTAACTATCTGCTGCCGATGTTACCTTGGTCGTCGATAAGAACTGCCGAAGGGTGATTGCAGGCAGGGCAACCTGAAGCATTGCTTGCATCGATGTTGGTTCGTCTTTCTGTCTGTCTGTCTGTCTGTCTCTGTCTGTCTTTCTGTGGCTATTCTTTCAGCCAGGACATATCGGTTGCCAGATGGATAGAGAACGAGCGCTTCGCTGAAATGTTGGTGAAGAAGGGGAAATTATGGGCCACCATGGGAGTTCACCGGCGAGGGAGGACGCTACTTCATGTGGAGGAGGCTGTGTGAGTATTATTCAGGGGCTTTGCTTGCATCGATTCTCTCAACGTCTTTGTCACCAAGGCATAGATAGAGGATCACCCTTCAGATGGGGTTGATGTTTGTATTCTGGGTGCTGAAGGGCCTTGCATCCAACATGAGGCCTCATGTCTTGGAGAGCTAGTTAGGTTGTGGGCTGGGTCATTGTCTGTGTTGATATTTCTGTTCATGCGTGTGTAACAGGAAGGGGTGGGGGCGTGCTGTCTGTTGTTTTCTATCCACAGATTTGTGTGCATTCTGTCCTTTGGAACATCCGCCAAAATTTGGAACGATACAGAGACGATTAGCATGGTCAAGGATGACACACACAAATCGAGAAACGGTCCAAACTAAAATGGAATTTTTTTCAAAAAATGAATCATTATTTCAATGATTTGTAATCTTGTATGTATTCGTTATGCGGAAAGGAGATTGATGCTGTGATGAAGGACCAACCTACTTCCTTCTTCCGAATAGAATGTGTGGTCATTACAGCCGTATTTCGCTCACCTTTTAGTCCAGATGCAGCAGAAATGACCGTACGTTCTATTCGGGTGAAGACGGTAGCCCTAGTGGATGTCATTTACTGGTAACACAGGACGGAAGTCACGAAACTGATCCAAATCTCAAAAAGCTAGGTGGCATATGACAATCCCTTCAGGCCATCAACCTACCGTCTTCACCTGAATAAAGTGCCCGGTCATTATAGCCGTATTTGATGCGAATTCCAGTCCAGATACGGGGATCATACAGCTATTGTTACTGGGCGTTCTATTCAGGTGAAGACGGTAGCGCGACTGGATGTCACTTTACTCGTAACACAGGATGAAACTGATCCAAATCTCAGAAAGCTAGGTTGATGCAAAGAGCTCATAATAGCATGAGTTGGCCTGGGTTACCCGTAGAAGCCAGGGGAGGCGTGGTTTATTGGGGCTGTTGGGCAGGGCTGAAGCTACTGGGTTCATCCAACATTGAACAATCTATAAAAACTAGGTGCTTCAGGCCTAGATGCTTTGATGCCAGGGCCCAGGGGTGGTTTATTGGGGCTGTTTCCACCTGTTGGGCCCGCAGGAAAACTGTCGGCTGTTGAAATACCGACCTGAGTTCCATTCCGGTCCCAGATGGAACTCGATGAATGATGTAAACTAAGTTTACTAAGTTAATATTAACTAATCTCGTAATTCTGAACATGGATTGGTCAGTTCGATGATGGTGTTTTTGTTTTTTTTCCAATGATGGTATGTCAAGGCGGTTGGCCTTTGAAAAAAAGAAAGGGGGGAAAAGAAAAGTCAGCTAACAGTTTTGAGTCTTTTTGACGATTAGCCAATGAAATCATTTGGGTTTTCCAAGGAATGGGATGGAGGACAGTTCCCCTGTTGGGTGCCCACCTACACTCGGAAGAGAACTGGCAGAGAAGGAGACGTATGCAAGAACACCTGCAGAGTACTCTGTCGGACCATTGGATTGGGTTTGATCCCTGGCCATTGTATTAACTAGAATGATGAATACACCAATTGATGTTTGACGATGTGGAATGTTCAGGTTTCTTTTAGAGAGAGGGAGCCTTCTCTTGGTGATTGGTGGCAATACTGCAGCCTCTGTGCAGCAGGGGTACGAGCTTCTAGCGTTACAGCAGTTTCCAGTGGACGCATACCAGGTTTACGCCCATCTTCGGCGCCTGGGCTACATCCTGGGGAGGACTGGCGTACCATGGATATGCAGTGCAAAAAATGAGAGCATGAAGCGAAAGCAGCTCAGCATTGAAGAACAACAATCAATTGTATCCCATGAAAGCCAGTCGCAAATTGAAAGAGAAACAGGATCAACAGCCAGTTTGTGTCCGCACGGTGGGTGTGGTGATGATGGACATTTGCATGACAAGGAGGCAAAGAGTTCATCTGTCGCCAATGCTTGCCGCAAAAGCGGGAGTACATGTGCAGAGGAAGCGTCTCACTTCACTCTTGCTGACGTGGTTGGAGGGGTGCCTAGGGGAAACACAGGTCCTCGGGAACAGTCAATCAGTGCATTAAGAATGGTATCCGTATCGGGGGAACCATTTCAATCTCAGTCTCAAGAACAAAAGGATGACCTCAGACGAATGGGCGTGGAGAGCAGGGGGCATCGGCTGCCAATTGTGTGCAACGGTAATTATCGTGCGACCTTGACGACTACTGGAAGAACTGGTCTGCTTAATGCAGAACCAACACTGCCCCCTACCGTGCTGTCTGGATCATCGGGCTTAACAGAACTACCACCACCTCAGCAAGCTGATAGGGTCCGTCACCCAGTTGCAGATCCAGGAGAGTACCTTCCCGTCGACAAAGGCAAGGTGGTCGAAAAAGTTGTGTCTTCACCTTCCTTACCAACAAATGTTATGCATCCGCTCCATGCGTTGTCGTTGCCGCCCTTGAGAGCAGCTCGACTCACTCCTTATCCTAGCCGTTATGTTTTAGGAAACATTCTCGAAACAGCTAACGTCAAAGAGGAGCAGATTGCAAATTCGGCTGAATCGGATGGTCCTCCAACTGAAGCCCTTTCATGGAAGGAGAGTGGTCAGATCGGACACAGGAGTGCATCCATTGCCACTGACATGGAAAAGAAGACGAAGGAATTACGTCCGCTCTACGATGTGTATTTGCCAAACAGCAAATTCAGCAAGAAAAAACCTGGCATGCCCATTTTCAGGCTCTGCATTACCAGGTCAGTCTGGGACGCTGAAGAAGGGCTTTTTAGATTGGGTTTTCATTGGCATTCTTCCTTCCTACCCTCCCTCCCTCCCTTCCTCCTTTCTCCCTCCTTCCCTTTCTTCCCCCCGCCTTCCCTCCCTTCCTTCCTGACCTCCCTTGGTCGCTCCCTACCTCCCTCCCTCCCACCCTCCCACCCTCCCACCCTCCCTCGCACTGCCTCCCTTCTTCCCTCCCTCTCTCTCTCCCTCCTCCCACCCTCTCCCTTTCTCCATCCTCTTCTTCCTTTCTTCTCTCCTTTCCTCGCTCGCCTCTCTTCTAGCAACTGCGTTTTCCCAAGGGTTGGCAGAATTGCCATAGGTCCCTTGAGTCTGTTTCCCAGTGTCATGCGGAGATCAGTTCCCGTTTTTTGCCTGTTGCCTTTTCCACAGCATGTCTGAAAAATTTCCGTGTCTCTTTTCCTCAAGGATGCATTGGAGGCAACTTATTTTCTCTTTCCTCAGTCTCACCTCTGTCCTCACTGCCCTTGACAAGAAGCCTACTCTGACCTCCCTCTCTCCCTCTCTCCCTCTCTCCCTCTCTCCCTC